GTTTGCTTTTTTTGAGGTCACAGTTAGCTTTGGATTTTCACATGATTACATTAATTGTATGGAAAATAGGCGAGAAGTTGGTGTGAATAATTTTTGTTCAAGAAGGTCACCTCTCAAAAGAAAAAGGTACCAGCAGTCACCATTCGCTGTTGATTTTATGGTTTTATATTTAATACTTTCAATACCAAACTACTATGATTGTGGTTTTACGTTTATAAAGTAAAGTATTCTACAACTAAATGGGAAAAAATAAATATAATTTTAATGGAAGTCAAAAATAAAATTTATTTACGACAAATTGAGCATAAAAAATTAAAAATATGTATTTTTCTTTCCATTCTCTTTCTAATATTATCTTTAACTAAATTTAAAAATTATATTATCTCCCTTTTTCGTTCACTTTGCTTGATTACCGTTATCGACTTTGTCTACTTGCTACCAGTATTTGTTATCGTTTCTACTGTTATATATCTGTCATTTGTTATTCATATTTTTTTATTAATTTTATATTATTTTAACCAAACAATAGACGAAATTGATCGCCCACCTCATATATATTGATTTAGATCGAAATATTGGAATGGACTAAATTGGTCCTTTTATGGTTGATCCTCAACCTATGAAATAATAGACCAAGGATTTAAAGTCCATTCTGATCTTGTCTAAACAAAAAAAAAAATCAATTTTGTTTATATAAAGTAAATAAAATAAAATTTCATAAATTTAAAGTATTAAACCCTAAAATTCCTTAATTTTATCATTTCTTCCTCGTACACCTGTAAAAACTGTGAAGCATGACCACATATTGAAATGGAATCGTGACTAGTAACTCTAGCATGCATCTCCTCTGCTTCCACCGACCACCGTGCCTAACATGTGATATGCATTTTCTCTCTTACCTCTATTTTATGTGTTTTACCCTGAAGTTCTCTCTCATTCTCATCTTCTTTTTCCTATTTTCTCTCTCCATTTACCCACTCTCCTTCACATGCCACTATGATTGACATGTGCCTGTGTAATAACTGAGAAAAAGAAAGATATATGTATATATATATATAAAGAAACAAATAAATGAATAAAATAAAGGAGAGAGGGAATAGTGAAATGGATAGTGTAGATTAGATTAGGGAAAAAGAAATGGACGGCTAGGATGCGTGCAGATGGGGAGAGGGGATAGACGGGCAGGATGCCTGGTAGGTAGAGTATAAAAAGGGAAGGAAAAGAAGAAAAAAAAGGAAATAAAAACTGAGGAAAGAAAAAGGAAAAACAGGAAAGGGAAAAAGGAAGTTGGTGATCGAAGATTCGAGAGAGAAGGAAGTCGGAGAGGGAAGGAACGAGAAGAGCGAGGGGGAAAAGGAGGAAGACGACGATACGAGTTAGGAAGTGCAAAAAAATGGAGACCGGAGATATGGTGAATTAAATATTGAATATAGGATGATGAAATATGAATATATTTCTGTAAATATTAAAGGAAGATATAAATAGTAAAGGAAATGGAAATTATGAAGTAGTGATTGATGAAATCAGAAAGCGGAGGGAGATCGTGAGTGGTGGAACAGTTGGTTGATGTTGTGAGTGAAGAGAGATGGAGGAAATCGCGGGAGAAGAGACCAATAGCTACGGAGAGGTGTCGTCGGGACAGAGTAATGAACTAGAACAGGAAGTAGAAAAAATGAGCAATGAGAGAGGGAAGGCAAGGTTTCGGTTACAGTGAGAGGAATGAGAGAAAAAGAAGTTGAGGAAATGAGAAATGAGAGAGGAAAGATAAGGTGTCGATTATAGTCAGGGGATTGGGTACGGTGGGTGAATAAGTGTAAGAGAATCTGTGGGAGGAGGGGCGGTATGTTGTGCGAGGTTGATGATGATAGAGAAAAGGGTGCAGGGATCCGAGGGACACAAAGAGAAGAACAGAGACGGACAGAGAGTGGAACAGTTGGATGAGTGACAATGATAGGA